ATGTGTTGGTGATTCTGTGGCTTGTTGGTCAAGGTCCAAACACAGTATTTAAACCAGGAGCTGGGTTTAACAGCTCAAGGGGCCAGGTTCGCCCCTGCTCTGAGCTGACCTTGGCAGGGCAGTGTGTGGCTTTCCAGAAGGGCAGATTGCACTCACTGCAGGTTACTCTCACTTGGAAATGGCCTTTTCATGATGCCCTCCAAGATGAATTCACCCAAAGCAGGTTTTTATGCACATTTATAAAGGGAGGGAGTGTCAGTCTGGACTGGGTGGGAATTTTAATCTTTGCTCTCCACTCAAGAGCCATAAAGTTCACCTGCATGGACACGGAAATAACTGTGCTGGCAAAAGCCAGGAAACCCCAAGGGATGGTGGCATGTGGGTATTCCTGGAATTCTGTCCTTGGGAGCAGCTGTTATCCATGTGCCAGACAGGTTTGAGCCTGCAGTGTCCCTGTGCTTTGGTGGGGGGTCAGAAGGAGTTTAATTACTGTGGCTTAATTGTACCCAATGGCACATATAAAGCTCAGTCATTTCATCAGCAGGCTATCACTAAACACTAGTTTCGTTCCAGCAGGATCTGGAAGTTTCCTTCCAAGAAAATGGTGGATTTCAAGAATAAAGCCAGTGGCCAGAGTGTATTTCCTGCAGGGTACACTCACTGTTAGGAGAACTTTTGAAAGCCATTTTTCCCTTGGTAGCTCAGATATGGCAGGGCAAGAACCCTCCCAAACTTGTCATCAAGGTGACTGCAGGTTCAGTTTCCTCCTGATTTAATCACCCTTGTTGCTTGTTGAATTGAAGAGAGGAAAATGTATCTTCTTAACTGCTCATGGGGAAAAAGGATGAAATTATATTTATTATGCATTAAGCTTTTTGTTTCCCTTTCAGATCAGTTCTATCTGGTCAGATAAGTCAGATAAGTTCTAATAACCAGTTCAGTCATAGCTCTGCCTCTTCTCTAGAAGTCCCAGAGTAGTTATGGAATAGGCTCTATTTGCAGCTCAGTAAGTAAATTAAAAAATTCCACCTCTCTAAATTAAAAATCTCCCCCAGTCTGTGGCCCCAGGTAGTTTTTATGCAGTGTGGTTTCCTTAAGCTCAGTTTTATTGCTATTGAATTTCCAACACGTGCACCTCCATTAAAGATAATTCTGGTTTTAGAGATTGCTGCCAAATAGCACTTACACATCAAAACCTTTTTTTTTTATTTTTATTTTAGGCTAGGGAGAGCTGAGTTTTAAACCACCATTTTTAATCTCTCAAGGGACACGAGATGACTTGGTTTGTCTCTCAAGTTTCCCCCATCACTGACTAAATAAGCAGTTTTGCATTATCCTGTGTTGAATGACAAAAAACAGATGTAGTTTTTTAATGTCAGTATTTTTCAGTGCTGGAAATCTCTGCCTTCAAAGCTGCTCAACACATTATCCAACCGTTTAGACCCAACCAGTCTTCCCACATCTGATGCAGCTTTTGACTGGGCTCTTTATACATGACCTTGGATAAATCAGCTGCTCGATATCTGGAATTTGAGGGAGCCAAGTTAGATGGGAGGGAAGTGCTGAAAAAGCTGCTGAATTTATTCATTCACCTGTTTGGGCTTCAGTACAAGGCTAAAGTTGGGTCTCTCGAGACAGATGATGGTCCGTGGATGTTCCTGAGCACCAACACACAGGGCTCAGGCCATGATAACTGTCTGTGACAAAACAGCACGGATTTGAGGCAACTGTTGTATCAAAAAACTGTTTTAAATATTCCAGAACTCGCTGTGTGAATTTATTGTTTGTTTTTTTTTAAAACCACTGGTACAGAAAAGCTGTTGTTGGGAACTCGCACAACTGTCCGGGAGGATGTTCCGTCCATCTCTCTCTTTTCCGGGGGAGATTCTTTTCAGGTACTTTTAAATATTGTTTTAACACTTACTGTGTCCTCCACCCTGCTGCAGAATATTTCATGTATGAAGGATGATGTGTGTGTTTTATGCACTTTTAACTTGCAGAGGGCCTCGTGCACCTCTCTGGCTCCAAAGCCATGAGGGGTTTGCTCTTTCCGTGTAAAAGGAAGGTCGATGCTTTTGAAATGTGACACATTAAAACGTCTTTGCTCACGAAAGATCTCAAGCTTTAACACTAATTGTGACTCCTTTGCCCAAAAGCCTCGTTTCTGTGGTGATGATTTTATATTTGCAGTGTAGTAAACGCTGGGCTTTTGATGGTGGTCCTGTGTTTAAACTCCTTGGGGTTTACCCTGTTGGGTGATGAGTGGCCTGCTTCTGGTGCAGGTTTAGAACACTGCAGGTCAGGTTTTGAAAGCACTGACACAATCACCTTGTGCAGCCTGGTTCTAGACATCAGACTCATTAGTTTAATTACGGAATGTAGCAGTTCCCAGCTGTGGATGATGTCACATCCTCTTTATTATGTAAATCACACCTGGGTTGAATGGGGGAGGGAAAATGCTGAGGAACTGCAGGTTTAAATGGGAGCCCTCACTGTGAAAGGGCTGTGTCTGCTTTTGTCACTTGATTAAGAATCATATTCATCTATTTGGTCTCTGAAACAGTAAATAGCTGATAATTTAGGCTTCAAATTATTTTACTGTGGCCTTTAAATTATTCCTTTCTGTGGTATCCTAAGGCCACTTGTTCTGTCTCCCCCACACTGTGTCTTCCACCTGCTCGCTTTTCTAGGGGACTTATGGGAAGATTGTGGATGATC